GCGTCATCATGCGTCTCAACCAATGAGAGCATTTGGGGTGGGCCTAAAGACTGCTGCATCGCTCACATGAATGGTGTTTTGTCGATTTGTGCTACCCTGTCAGATTTTGCTACCTCCCATTAAAACAGTAGGTAGTACAATTCGACAACGAAAAATGCTACGTGTCAAATTATGGTTTATTAACGTCAACACCAACCACAACCCTAAACCTACCCTTACAGTAATGCAAATACAGTACTTATATGTTATTCGCGGTTGTGGCTAGAAGGGATACAGCTACGGCCGGAAGCCAACAATAAATACACTTTTCTAACTATTAGTGTCATGCCCATGGACTGTTTTGTGTTTGTTTTCCTCCTCCACGTGTTCCATGTTTTCCATGACCTAGTTTCTCCCGGGTTTTCCTGCCCATATTTGGTTTTCCTGTTCCTGTTCCCATTGAGTTCCATTTGTTTCAGCTGTGTCCCGGTAATCTCCTCGTTTAGTTCTGAGTACTTAAGCCCTGTGTTTTCCCATGTCTAGCGGCGTCCAGTGCTAAGTTACCTATGCTATGTGTGTGAATAAAGTCTGTATTTTCTGTATTCTCCGACCTCTCCGACCTCTCCCGCTCCTCGTCTTTTAAAAGCAAGCACTTCTGTACTTTTACTTAAGTAAAAATATGTCTTTACAACTTTTACTTGTAATGGAGTAATATTTGACCAGCAGTATCTGTACTTTCACTCAAGTAATGGAGTTGAGTACTTTGTCCGCCTCTGCTGACGGGTAGGATAAAACGTCAGGAAACCCAGCGCTCCTGATAAAATTATTTAAGCATCAACATTCACAAACCACTGTTCACTGTTATTTTTAACAGAAAAGCAAGCATGGGCTGCTGTGTGCATGATTTCGCATGGCAGAATACGACCAGCGCTCCCTTTATTATCACTTAAAATCTGACTAAAGCTCTGTTATAACACAATGAATATATGCACAATGAATCTTCCATAATGTCTACACTTCATGTGTTAATGAGAGGATTCGTAAGCACGCAATTTTCAGCACTGCGTAAGAACTTTTGAGCGGTGAGTGGATTCTAACTTAAACACCTTTTATTGGCCATTGCGTTCCTGAATCATTTTATTCTCCCGCAGCCCGTGCGCACACACGAGTGTCTACCCGCTCGCACCTGCACTCGCCCATCAAGTGTTGTCCCGCACCGCACTCTGCTGCGGTGGGTCCCGCGGGTGCGGTGCAGGGAGTGCAGGTGTCTACTCGGAAGGTGCCTATTATAACGTTATGATCGATGCTCTGGACTCTGAGCATAACTTGTATTTCTATAACAAACTAGACAAAACGTTAATGCCCTGGCAGTGGCAAATAGCTTTGGTTTTATATTTAATTTGATTAATGTTTAAGTTGAGATTTACAAGAAATATTTTAACTGCTAACTATGTAAAAGTAATACTGCTCTAAAAAGGTATTTATTTAAAGTGTTTGCAAACAAATGTTATTGCACTTTTGTTCATATAGCAGTACTTTTAAAATAAAAGTGCGCAATACACCACTTTTGAACTCATTATTGAATTTTGTGTAAAACAATGCGATTAATCACGATTAATCACAGAAAAATCACGTGATTAATCGCGATGAAAAATTTTAATCGTTGCCCAGCACTATT